TTAACGACGGCGACGAAACTCGCTATGGTCCTTTTGTAAACAAGGGGATGAATTATACCAGGAGATTGGAAAAAGAAGGGGACAGCTAGAGAGAGAGACTATAGTCTTGTTGGGAGAGTGGGAGAAGGAAAACAAAGGCCAGCAACCTCTTGCATAGAAGGGGGGGGGGACACTGTAAATGATGAATGTGAAATAATACATTTTACAGAGGAAACAGAGGTTATTTTTGTGCGAACACGGTACAACAAATAAAGTTTGTAAATTAGTTAAAGTGAATTCCCAAGTAAACGTCAAAGTATAAGAATTCCTTGTTGATGACATGAGGTAATCAGCAGTTTGTTTAGCAAAATTACCAGCAATTTCTTGTTGATTTACAAAATAATCGTTTTACAGAGTGAAGTAAAAGTCTATGTATTCATTGAAGATAGAATATGCACACGATATGGAATGGATCACACCCCTATCAAAAATCATCTTATCAATCAGCTCGATCAAAGTTTGGCTGACGGAAACATTACTGTTGGCACCATAGGTACTATTATTTTGTTCCGCGGGCGTGACGGTTTTCTGAGTGTGGCTGCTGGAGCTATGTTCTTCGAGCCTCACCACGAATGCAGTGCTGCCCGCCTCTTTATCTGGATTGCCAATCAGGCGAATGGAGGGAAAGAAAGGCGTGCGCCTCGCTTGGGCATTACTCTCCGCTGCATGTCGCCCCTTTTTGTCTGTCTGGGGCGTGCAAAGTCAAAACGCGGCGCATTCACCCTGGGAATCGCGAGGGTGAGCGTGGGTGAGATCCACAAGAAGGGCCCTGACCTGCAACATCCAGAAATTCGTTTCCCTAATTTGATGCATTCTCTTTTTTACGGCGTTTGTTTTTGTTTGCTTCGATGAAAATTTCATTGAAAACATCTCAGGGTGAAAGCTATTATTGGAACACTTCGTGCCGTGCGACGGAGTCTGCGTTTTGGGTATAGGGTCCTAACCTGTTGGGATATTGAAACCCCCCGTGGGCAGCGAGATATTGACTGCTCATCCTCAGTACACAATAACACCCACCCCTTCATGATGCCCCCTGCAACCCCTGTTCCTCTTTCCCCATGCCCCCCGAACCCCCGCTCTCTCCTTTCCAGGTAACCCAGCGGCACAGCAGGGTGTTGAACTTGACATCTCCCTGACCCTACTCTGCCCTCTTCCCTGCGTCTCTCCGGCATCCGCTCTCTGGCCCACACCAACGCCTGGCTATAAAAGTGCGGCCAGATTTGTAATCAAGGAGATTGAAAAGGGGGAGAGAGAGCGAGAGGGACGGGGGAGCATGACAAAAGTAGTGAGATGGTCCTGGGAAGTGCATATACAGGCGCGTAAGGTACGGCGCTGTGTGGGGGTACCATGTGCCGAGGACTGGCCGACAGGCGGGGGTAGTATTCCCCCCCCCCCCTTCTCCCCGCCCCTCTTGCTCGCAGCATGCAGTCAGCATAAACGCGCTTTACGAGTGCTGCCGCACCTTCAACCACTCTCGGCGGGGGCGGGGTTCGACGGAAAGGGGCTGAGGGGGGAAATAAAGGGGTGGGTTCATCGGCAGGGGCGTTGGAGGCATGAGAACTATAGCAGTCGTGCTTGCACTTAAAACAAAAATGTTGGCGGTTAAAAAATGATTACTCCGAGCTCTTAAATAAATTAAATAAATCAGAACAAGTGTTCATATCTTCGCGAGAGCAAGGGGTGGATAACTGAGATGGGGTTATCCTGACAAAGCAGAACAATCAACATTAGCCTACACCAGCACAACTTGTCTAGTATATCTCACCGAGGACTACCTCTGCATGGGGAAACTCTTCCCCCCTCCCCCTCTATTTCCCCTTCCCCTGCCTTCCTCTACCCCTTGCGACCATGTTAGCGAACCAGCCCTTTCGTAGTGGTTTAGATGGAAATCGGCTGAAATGTAGCCGGTCCAGTGGTCCGAGCGCACCGCACCTCCCCGACCAAACAGCGGCAGGTATACACGATGAGAGAGACTGAGAGGAGGAGGGGAGGGGGTGGATCTCGATGGGAACTGTGCCGCTCGTCCGCCAGTAAATCGAAGACAACACAGGACAGGCCCGCCCTCTACGTTACCACGCCGCGGTCACGCCTGGTCGTTAGGCAAGCCCGCCTCTCACTCCTATACCTTCTCGCTTGCTCGCTCGCGCTGGGTTCGACCCTCTCTCTCTCTCTCTCTCTCTCTCTTTCGCTCCCTTAGTTGTTCACAAAATGAGCAGCGAGGGGCCCATGCCCTGCATTGTTACTGCTGGTGTTTCTCCGTTTCTCCACCGCGCGTAGCCACCGCCAGATGCCGCGGCCAGGAGGGGTCAGGCGGACAGAGAGGCTCAGCCGCAATGTTTCTGATGCAGAATAACTTGTGCTAATTCTGACGGATGTTTTGCGGCGCCACCAACCTCCCTCCCCCTCCCCCTGGCCGTGGCCCAGTTGCTCGCCTGGACTGTGGCGCGTACTTTTATGCCCCTTGAGCCTCCTTTTCGACGGTTGCTCTTTGCCCTTTCCACTAGAAGCGCTAGGGCGTGTGGTGTTGACGGCACGCATAAACCCTCTGATGCACTACGTTGAGTAACATGCGGTGAAAGGAATAGCGGCGGGTTGTGTGTGTGCTTCTAAAGCACTGCGTGTGCGTGCGTGTGCGTGCGTGTGCGTGCGCATGCGTGCACTGGCAGACCTAAAGGCTTTTCGCAAACGTCAACTAATTTTTAAATTGTAACGTTGAAACCCAACTACTGAAGTTTAATTATTTGACTTTATTTTTTAAAATAGCTTTACTGGTGTGTCTCATGTAAACGCGATGGGTCGGTATGAGTTGCACGCCCTCCTCAATAGCAAAAATAGGACTTGCGGCAGTCATTAGTTGTGCGAATGATGTCCCGTTATCAGGCCACTTTGATATCTTCTTCAAAAGAATCGAATCGAATTATTTACTTCTCTTTCTCTTGTTCGCTATGCCCGCTCTTTTACTCATGCGTACCTCCTGTCGGTTAGGAGAGAGAGATAGGAACAGGAACGGGGCTCGAGTTGAATCCCCCTCTCAAAGAGTAATTTGGCGCACCACCGCCGCGCTTTTTTCCAGCCCCCGGCTCCCCCTCCCCCCTTTCTCTCTCTCTCTCCCTCTCACTTTGTGCCACAGCCCGATGAAACAGGGGCCTTTGACCAACATCATTCACCTCGGCCCAAGTAACCTGATCTAATAGCCCTCGGAGTTGGATTGAGCGGAGCCAGAGCTGGACGGTATGGGATGAGAGAGGGGGTGTCGGTCGAAGGGAAGGGGGGGGGGGAGAGAGTGAGGTCGCGCCCGCTCACCCTCTCGTGTGACTATATGCAAAAACACCACGAGTCGCGGTCGCGGCCGAGCGGCCGGCCGGGCCGGGCAGTCGGTCGTCGAGAGCGCCTGCGAGGTAGGCAGCGCGGGCGCACGCCTCCGCTCGGGTGTGCCTACCCCGGCAGGCGGCTCCCTCCCGCGACCAGGACGCCGGCGAGGGGAGCGGGACACGCCTCGCGGCCACGCCCTTCGCGCCCGCGCGCCGCCGACAGCAGCGACGGCAGTTTATTACGCAAAGTGAAGCCATTTACGTTATTTGGGCGGGCAGTGTGGCGCCGGCCACAAGACTCCCCCCTGGACTGTATAATCCCGCAGGGAGTTATATATTATCACCCCCCGCCCCGCCCTATAGCCGCTAATTTGAGCTCGCAGCCGCTCGCAGCGGCGGAGGAGCACTTAGGTCCCTCTGGGTTGCGCGCTGCCCCGCCCCACCTTGTACCGCACAAGTGAGTCGATGTCACCTCGGGGATGCATGGCCATTGGCCAACCGTCCTTCCCCCAGGAGTCAGATGGAAGGCGAGGTGCCGACAAACTCCGGAAGGGCAATTTTTTTATTATAATTTTTTTCGGTGAGGAATGGTATTGTTCTAAGTGTTGATTCCCCCCTTTAGAGATCACGCTACATAGTGTGGCCTATCCCATGGAGTATGCAATCCGTTGCCACGCCTGCATGCGATACAGTAGAACCCAGGAGGATCCAGTATCCCCTCCTGCTACCCCGCGCTGCCGAAAGCGACTACTGCCAACCAAATTTTCGATTTCCTTAAAACAAACAACAAGGCGCTGCGTCGTATAGTGTGATCGCAATCGAACTGCGGGGCAGGTCTCTAGCGCTGCGAGGCGGGGGCGTCCAAGGGCGCCTTGTAACGGGCCTAACGGGCCTATAAAGGGCCTCGCACGGTCCATATGTACTCACTGGGCGCCGCCGCCGGGCTCCGCAATACAGCCCATGAAAAAAGACGGGCAAACGTGCGAGGCAGCGTGGGGCGTGGCTGGCGGGGTGCGCGCGGGGCGAGCCGTAGGGCCCCGGGGGACTGCTCTTAAATTACACGCGAAAATAGAGAGGTGGCGTTGTGAGGGGGAGAGAGGGGTTGCAAGCGGGACAAGTCTTTGAAATACGCAAGAAACAGCAGGCCGCAGCAGAGGAGCTCCGACCAATGCCGAGCTGCCAGAGGAATAGCAAGTTCTGCCGAGACGTTGTGTTTATAGTTTAGTGACATTTTTGTAACATTACTAGACACAGGTTGTATCTATCTTGAGGAATATGATGGTTCTTCTCGGCGTTGCGAACAGTTTAGCATTTTACAGTCCTTTGTTCAAGGTGGTTATTGTCATTTACTGTTTCTTCTCCTAAGTTATAGTTATTTACAAAATTTACACGTAACAGGAGAAAGTGTGTGTTTCATTTCGTTAATAGCCTTCCATTCCCTCTGTTGTTTCCCTTTGCCTTGGTTTGCACAGACAACATTTTCCACCCAACATTTTTGTTTTTTTGTTGGCCCTCTCTACACACACGCACGCACACGCTTGAACACACTCGCGGCAGGGCTTCTCTCTCCCACGAATTTGTGCGGATGTATTTTGATGGGAGTTGGATTTGTTTTGTTGTTTTTTAACCCCCTGCTCTCGTGTTTTCCAGGTTGGTTGTTATCTGAGTGGAGTCGTCGGCGTGCTCGGTAAGCCGGGCTCTCCCACCCGCTCCCTCGCATCTCCTGCCAACGGCCCTCCTTGCTAGTTCGACAGACAAGACATTCATCCCTCGGCACGACTGGGGTTGCGCGCCGTGGCTGTGGGCTGCGCTGTGGGGGGCTTCTCCCCGCTGCTGGCTGCAGCAGAGCAGGGCCTGGGGCTTCTCATGCAATATGACCAACTGGTGTTCAATATGTGCTATGGCAGTGGGAAATATGCCAGGTCATCTCTTTGCCGAAGAAAGAGAATCCATAAACAGACATGGCTTTGACATTGGCCTCGCTGGTCTCCGCAAAAGCGACTCTACTTAAAGAACGCGGAGACCATATTTTGGTGATAGTTTCATGAGAAATTTTTCATCACAATGCACTTTAAATGGAAAAGGGCTGCTTTGTGTCCAGCGCGAAGATGTGTTCCTCAGCACACTTCAATCGAATCCTAATTTGTATCTAAAAATTGTACCATTGTACCTAGCCTGAGTGTGTAAAGTTTAGAACACGTATTTGCTCGACTTGTCCTTGTAGTGTGCATTTACTCATATGGATTGGTAAACCTGTGGCGCGGCCATCACGGCGTGACCTTTCCTCGTCTTCTTTCTTGTCCTCCCGGGATGGGTCCGGTACCTCTAAGGGACAGTCCTATTAAAACTAAGAGATTTGCCTCTACAAAAAGAATTATTGTGTTTTTACCTTTACTGGAATTATCTCGAAGGATGCATGCAGAGGTAAATCAGTAACAAACAGCAGCTTTTACCACTAAACCCGTACAGAAAAATATATACCTAAAACGTCTTAACGCCAAAATACTGGAAAGACATATTTGAGATTTTAAAATTTCTAGAGACTGTATAGTTGGTCCAGGTCGGCTCCCTTTGAGGGCGACTGAGCTTGCGGCACCCTCTGATGACATTCAGGTAATAATTGGATTATTGTTATTCACAATGGATTTTAAATGCCCTGAGAAAATACTTATAATAATATTGTTAAAAAAGTGGCATAAGGCGTGTGCACGTGCTCTGCTTATGGCTATGCCGCCAGCAGCTCTGCCATCGGCTCTGCCGCTGGCACAGCCCTTGCTGGCTCTGATCTCGGCTCTGCGCGCGGCTTTGCGGCCTTCCCGGCTCTGCCCGAGGGACTTCACTGACAGTGTACCGGGTGTTGCAGAAAAGACACAGGTGCGGGCGGGTTTGCCTATCCTCGACTCGGTGGGCGCACGGGTCCAGGTCTGGGGAGAGGTGAGGAGGGGACCCGTGCGCCCGCCGAGTCGAGGGTAGGCAAACCCGCCCGCACCTGTGTCTTTTCTGCAACACCCGGTACACCCCTTAAGAGAATCATAAAAAAAAGTTAAGGTAAAATATTTTTGAAAAGTTAAGGAAAAATCGTTAAAAAACCAATTTAAACATCCGTAAAAAAATTTAACAATCAGCCAAAAATCAGAAAACAAATAAGAATTTAAAAAGAAACTTTAGGAATTAGAAAATATTAAGGGAAAAAAAAGGTGGTGTACGCTTGTCTTCAAGAGTAAAGGACTGCTCGGCTCTGCCCCTGGCCCCGTACTGACCGCGGCACTGACCGTGGCTTTGACCGCGGCTCTGCTCCTGGCTTTCCCCTTGGCTCTGCTCCTGGCTCTGCCCCTGGCTCTGCCGTGCGCCTGCCTTGTGTTTGCCTTGTGCCATGTGATCAGGCTCACGTCGTCTCCAAACTGTCTCGAGGAAATTTTTTGATTCTTAGCAATGTCTCCAAAACGAGACGTTCTCGACTTTCTCTAGACATCTGGGTTATATCTCCTAATTGTCTCCATTATTGCGGCTCATAAACTGTCTTAATAGTCTCTAGAAATTCTCCACAGCATCTCAAATGTATCTTTGCAGTATCTCGGCTCGAGACAAGTCAAGATCTATATTTTTTCTGCGAGAAGAGGCGAAGCATTTTACCTCCACGAAATTATTAGTGGTACCTCTAATTTTCCTCTAATATTAATTATAAAATTGCCTCCACGGCATTCAACTCTAAGAGAAAGCACTTAATTTTGCCTCTCTAAAGCTTCTCCCCTTTATAGGTACTTTTTACTTTAACAGCTACTGTTTGTCCCCTCGTCAACCTATGTACCATGGTCTCCATTCCTTCTCGCATCCTCCTTGTCCCTGCTCGCCCTTCCAAACCACCCCCTTTGGCCTTTCTTCCTCATGCCCCCCCCCCCTTTGAAATACGCAAGAAACAGCAGGCCGCAGCA